ATTTTATATATATACATGTTATTGTGAATACAAATCTATGAATGATTTTTTCTTTTAAAAATTGTTTTGTTTTTTTGAAATTTTTTTTTTCATGTTTTTAGCTTTTAAATGTGTAGATCTTTGTGTTTTTGTATTTTTTTATGTTGGATTATATTGTGTTGCATTATATTAAGTTGGATTTATATGGGAGACAAGATTTTAATTATATTATATATGTTAGATTATGTCGTAAATGACAAGTCTTTAATTATATTATGATATTCTATAATTATGTTGAATTATTTAAAATGTTAGATTTACTTAAAATTTTAGATTATGTTGGCTTAGGCTTGGGCTAGTGCGAATATAGAGGATGGGGCGGGGGATGAAGGCGAGGGACGGGGCGGAGATTATAAATTTATCCGCAGACGAAGATGGGGATAAAAAATATACTCGTTAATGAGGGTAGACCGGGGATGGACGAAATTTTTTTAAGCGGGTATGGGAATGGAGACTACACCCCCTGCCCCCGCTGCAGTCCACTGCCATCCCTGTCTACTAGTTTCTCTCTATCTGTGTAGCTGACTCGCGAATCAAACTCAGTCCATTCAATTACACATTAGTTTTGGTCAAATGGTTATTGATTTTAAAGTTACGGGTTTTGTTAGAATAGATCGTTCATATACAATATATGGAGAGGTCATTAAATTCGAGAATGATAGGTCAATTGTCGAATTTAGCAATCCAAATTATTGTCCCGCCAAAGATTGGTTGGAGAGTGCGGGGTCTATACCCCCCACGGTACGAAGAACATGCATTAGAGATTTGTCTTGGATCATAACCTATATAAATTAAATTGTAACCCTATTTTTGTATGTGAAATAAAAATAAGGTAGTTGTTCTCTCATGGACGTAGACATATTGTCGAACCATGTAAAATTTTGTGTCCTTTCTTTTAATTAATTATGTTTTTTTTAATTATCCATTGCACACACAAATCACAATAGGTTTGAATTTTGTCGTGCCCATCTCTTATAATAGTATTAGTTATTTCATGTGCTTAAAAATACAGAATAATAAAAAATAATATATAATAAATATATTTGTTTATCATATGCAAAATCAAATCACAAACATAGAAAAAAGATAAATGAATTTAAATATCAATTTATAGTGGGGGTGAGAGGTGGTGGGCGACAGTAGTGGTGGTAAGAGACGGTGATGGTCGTAGTGGGGGTGGTGGTGGTGGTGGCGGCGTCGACAGCAACGGTGATGGTGGCGGGGGTGGTGACGATAGTGGTGGTGGGGGCGGTGGTGCAGCAGCGACGGTGGTGGTGGCAGTGATGGCGATGGCAGTGGCAGTGGTGATGGTAGATGTGGTGGTGAGATGGTTTCACACACTATTTTTTTAAAATATTTATGAAAAATAATTTTTAAACGTACTTTTAAAAAATCACTCCAAACACACTCTTATGAACCTATTTTTCCTATTAAATTTAGGATGTTAATATTAACCGTTAAATTAAATTTAAAGTAAAATTTAAAGTAATCTCAACTGCGAATAGCAAAAGTCATTTTTTTAACTTTTGAGATTTGAATTGTAAGTTACTTTATTATATAGATTTGAGCTGAAGAATTTTACGCATTAGTTCACTTTAGAAGACAGAGGATAATCTTCATGTCACGCCATAATTTCCACAATAGATATGAGCTAAACTATTAATTATCACCTATGAGAACATAACTAAATATCATAAATTAAAATAAAATCAATCACTGTTAATCATCTGACTAAACAAAAATTCCACAAAAATATAATTCAATCATCAATGTTACCTTTAAATAAACCAAATCTCTCATCTAATTAATATAAAGTTAATAGCATTCATCCTTCATAAACCAAATGTACTAAATTAGATAAGCACAATTCCAAGCCTCGAAATCTGGATTTACATCTTAATCCGTCTCAAACTCCACTTCCATATGCTCACTTATAGTGGTATTCTTTTCTATACCAACATCTAAAAAATGCAAAGAAGGGATGAATAAACAAACTCAGTAGAAAAATTCTTTCAAATCTAGACAATGGTTATAAAATTAATAAAAATAGGTAGGTCTTGATTTCAACAAAATAACATAGATAGCTTTGAAGTAAAACCAGTAACATTTAACGATCTTATGTGTACAATACATTCCATAGCATTATAAAATTATTTCAAAAAACATCAACTATTAGCAAAATATAACAAGTATACAAAAGATTATAATAAACGTATCTCACGTATGTATGCTGATTAGCTGGAATTCACACATTGATTATATCTTACCCAGGTACACTCACACCCAAATCGTCAAATCTATTACCCGCAAGGTCACAATACTTTAGGAAGTGTGTATACAGTTGCATCCACATTCTCGAAATCTTTTTAGAAGATTAACCCCCAATCTTGATCACCGTGAGCAAATAATGCGAATATTAGAACCTCACAAAGAACCAAACAGCTCTACTACGAGTGATACAAAATTTTCAAACACCTAAAGGTAAGAAACTCATCTAAACATTATGTGATATACATTCGAGTATAACTCACGTTCATCACACCTATCCATACAAAAGATAAAATATGAACTTTTAATAAAATTTACATATCTCACAATTCGTAATCCCACAATTCTCGAAATAGAAGAGTAATCAAATTAAAACATTCCAAGTTGGCCATAATCAAGATATGAGATTTTTTCATCAAGAACATATAATTTTGATGGTATATCATGTATTTATTAAAAAAAATGATTGAATAGAAACCCAAAATGTTGTTTATCTACCATATCATTATGAATCAAAATCAAAAGATGCATATACATAACCCTAATTTTCAATAAATAGATTTGAGAAAGAAGTCCTACCATAATTCATAAATAATTGATCGTAATGTGTGTTGATACAATTATCATGAATTCATCCTCCAAGATCTAGCCCGTCTTCCTTCTTTTCCTTTTTTCCAACTTTCTTTATATTCTTAAGGTTGAAAAATAGCTAAAGAAATCCTGAAATACGTTGGGTATTTATATTGTCAAAAACTATTCAGACAACACAAAATTGATCGTTACTCCCAATATCTCTTGTTTTTCAGACTTATGCGTTCAAATGGAGATTTTTCCATTTAAATGGACTCTAAGATTCTACAACTTGTCCCTATTTTTCAAGCTCATTTTGACCTAGTTAAAAGTTAATTCAAGAATATTTGTGAAATATATTTTTGTAACTCTTGAAATCTATTTTTCAATACAAGAATAAGGTCCATCATACATCGGGATAAAAAATTATAGTCAAAATACTAAGGTAGTATCAAATTTTGTCCTACTATAATTTTCTCCAAAATATATTTTAACTTTCAAATACTTTTAAACTTCTAATACACCTCATATCATATTTCTTGAGGTTTCTCGACCTTTCAGATTCATTGGTAATTTTATTTTGACCCAATTTTTTTTTTTTCAAAATTTACCAATCTGCACTTCTCAAGCTTAAACGCATCCAAAACTAAGTTTAAGATGAAAATCAATACGCAAGAAACTCAAAATTTACAATCAATTATTCAACAACAATTCAAAGATTCTATCATAATTTTAAAAATACATTTAATATCATGTCTTTAAATTTTGTACTAGATCTTACACTTCATCCGTCAAATTTGCATCGTTTGATTAAAGTTTCAATGGTGATGGGACTAGGTGTAGCAGGCAAACCATTTTTTTTTTTTTTTATAAAAACCTATATCTACTTGTTTTTTTTTTTTATACAAAATATATACCCATGTAATATTTCATGAAAATGATATTGAGACTTAAAAATTTGACATAATTTGTTAATCTAGTAATGTGATTTTATTATAACTGTTGGATTAACATTAAATTTTAATGTTTGATGGGATCCATAATCAATCCAATTACGGTAGTTAATTAAGTTAGCAAATTAAGTCAATAAATGAGTGCCTAATAATATTACTCATATTTATAAGGTGAAAAAAATGAGTGGACTATTGACAAATTCTTGCTCTTAAACCCACCTAAATACACAAATACTGACTCAATGTATAAACTTCAGCCACTGTATGGTCCGAGGAGATGAACGGAGATTTTGAAGTACTTATCTTCCTCCGCTATAGCTGCAGATGTTTTTACATGTTTTCAGAAAATAATTAAAAAAAACACTTACATGTTCGTCTTGTAAATGATTGAATGTTTGAACAAGAAGGCCAAGCATACATAAAAGGGATGTATGACACGAAATATGACAAGTCACTCTTGAAAATTTGTTGCCTCGATACACTAAGAGTTCACAGAGACCAGAACTTTAGCATTTTCCTTGGGGGAAAACCCATCCCTGCACTTTGAACTTACACATCACAACCCAATTTTTTTTGTTTATTTTAATTTTTTTTCTTTTTAGCATTTTGTGTGTGTGTGAACAGGATATTCCCTGGTTACCCTTTTTCATTTCTTGCATTTTGTGCAGGATACCTTAGAATACTACTCAGATAAGTAAATAATATATAAGCAAGCATAACACTAAATTAGTAAACTTACTTTTTTTTTTAGATATTGTATTCGGGCGAATTTACGCACGATTTCAAATAATCTGCTCTTTGATTTGAACAAAAAACAAGGCATTCACGCCAAGATTAGAAAATTTATGAGGGATAAATCCCTCATAGTCTATCCTCAAAAAAATTATCAAATTTTGAATTCAAGACACGTAAATTTATAGTTCATCATATCACTTTAAAATAATAAAAATTAAATGTATCAGTAATCAGATAAGTAAACAGTACATAAGCAGAGAAATTTTGGATACCGGTGTCTAACCCTATAAGCAGAATACGATATAAATCAACATCGAAAGTTTGTTCATGATACGTACCAAGCAGCAGTGAATACTGACTAGCCATTAATTGGAACCCCTATGGAAAATTAAACTAGTGCTTTAAGAGAGGATTTCCATGAGGACATAGGAATGGCTATGGAGAATCCGGTGACCTGCCGGTATAGGAGTTGAGGCTGAGCTCAAGGGAAGCACGAGAACCGGCCATGGCGCCATGTGATCGATACCAGCCGGTGTAGTAGTTCTCAGATTCCGGCTTCATGTTGCAGAAACCAGAGATGTTGTCGCCATGCATGGGGAAGACAGGAAGGGTCTCTATCTCCGGGTTTTGTTCTTCTTGTTCCTTCTCTTCTAGGGTTCCATCATCTGATTTTCTCTTTTCAAGAAAAGGGTAGGCTGTAGGATATGGATCAACCCCCACCAGTCCAAAACTATGGCCACCTGCTGATATTGAACAGTCCTGAGGGAAAGAAACACGCCAAAGAATTTAGAGACAGGAAAATGAGAATGTGTGTGTGTGTGTGTGTGTGAGAGAGAGAGAGAGAGAGAGAGAGAGAGCAGTTCTTACAATTTTGTTCAAAGCTGGTTCTAAACAAAACACTAATACCAAAAGAAGCTGAAATAATAATGTTATTAGCTTGAATTTCATATTTGGGAAAAAGCCTTTTGAAAAGTTGATTCTAAGCAAGAATTCCCTGGCTTGTCTCTCCTTTTTTATTGTTGAAAGATTGAACTAGTCTTGTAAAACATTCCCATTCATTTTGTTATATTTAGCATGTCATGAGGCATTGTCACACACATTAGTGTAAATTTTGTGCTAGTTATTTGATTCCTACCATTGCAAAGATTGTAAGAACTACAAAGAAGATGACTTGTGCCGACTTACGTCATCATACCACTTTAAGACAGGATCTAGAATTAATCAATTTTATTTNTTTTGTGCTAGTTATTTGATTCCTACCATTGCAAACATTGTAAGAACTACAAAGAAGATGACTTGTGCCGACTTACTTCATCATACCACTTTAAGACAGGATCAAGAATTAATCAATTTTATTTGTTTTTCTTACCCTAAAACTCTTTTCCATGGCCACAGATCCATAACCATAGCTTCCCACCTGCCCAACAGCAAGCATACCAGATGAAGAAGAAGATGGAGATGGAATACCTGCAAATAAACCATACCCATATAAAAAAAAACCCTCAAAAACATCATGAAAATACACATTTGCACCCATATGACAACCCAACAAAGCTTAAAAAAAAAAAAACAAAGATTAACAGCAAAGAAATGGAAAAGAATGATGAAGAGGGATTTGGGAATTTTGAGAGTTCACCAAGATTGATGTTAGGGAACTTGTTGTAAATGGTATCTTCAGATCTCCAACTACTATTGAGAACACCTCTTTGTATGGCAATATCAGTAGTGAACCTTTTTTTCTGCCTCTCACGAGCTTTATGGTTCTGAAACCAATAAAAAACGTTCTTGCCTTCGATCTTGCCGTACTGTCTCAGCCTGGCTGAAATCCTCTGAATCTGCTCAGCACTTGGAGACCTAACTCCATTGTTGTAGTAAAGGTCCTTCAATATTCTTATCTGGTCGGTGGTGGGTGTCCACCTTGTACTGCTTTGCCTGCACAGATAACTGTTTTTCCCACTGCCGCCATCTTCGTTTGGTGGTTGTTGGTTTTGTTGTAGGTGGTGATGGTTCTGTTGTTGTTGAGCTTCCATTAAACAGGAAGAAAACAAAGGCAAGAAAACAAAACAACCACAAAGAGAGAGAGAGAGAGAGAGAGAGAGAGAGAGAGAGAGAGGAGAGAGAGGGGGGGGGGGTAGGTGAGGATTGTCGAGTGCATGAGATGGTGAAAATTGGAGGTTATAAAAGGGGGAAGAGGAAGGCACATGGAGGTGATAGGGAGAGGATATCACAGGGATATCTGGGAGAGAAAGACTGAAGTTGACAGACTGAGGTTAATAGAAGGGAAGGGACAAAAGAGGGACTAGAAAGGGAGGGATTCAGAGGAGTTGCTTGGATGAAAAGGCATGACAAGGTATGATTAAGCTGAGAGAGAGAGAGAGAGAGAGAGAGAGAGAGAGAGAGAGAG